CCGGCTATTTTGGAAAAAGCCCCATATTTATGGGGCGCCCCACATGTAATTGGTATTTTATGGAAAGAAAATTCAAAATTGTGATTGCACATTTGCACGTTGTGCCTGGACAGTAAAGGCAGCGCTGGGGTGCCGCATGTCCAACGTCCTGTGCTAAAGAAGATTAATATGATGATGATGATTAATAGGGTAATCAATTTCAAATCTTGGTACTTCAAAATTTATTTTCAGATTACTAAATTTTTAAAATAAATTGGTTGAAGCAACATGTTATCAAAGTAACATCTCTAATCTAAATTAATTTATTTGGAATATTAAGAAAGTTGAGTGTACATAATTCATGCGAGTATCGATCGGTCCAAATGAAGGTTAATATTTGGTCGAATTAACCATAATTTGAAATTATTGATTGTCTAATAAGGATTTCTACGTAAACATGTTATTTAATTTAAGTTCTCTATTCGGTTAATCTAGCTACTTCTATAATACTGTCAACATCAATTTAATTTGTCACGTGTTTGATGGACAATTTCCAAGACACTTCCATATGCAGTACACGTTTGGACTAAAGATCTTTATATATACAATTACTATAATCTATCCGTTACCATTTTAAATTGGGAAAAAGCTTTAAAATAAACAATAATTCAAAAAACTTTCCACAATTAGATTTTAATAATTGTTGTTAACTCAATTAAATACTATATAGAAGAAATGTATAATTGATAATTTCGTGTTAATTTCTATCTTTTTTGGCTCACGACACTACGTGAAAAATTATTCTGTATTATTCTTATCATCCAACTAGATAAAATAACATATTGTTGGACACGTTGTAATTTCATAATATACTTTTAGAAAGAAAAGGGCATGTTATCTTTATTATTTTCAAGCCTCTATTTTCGATTTTCCAAAATAGTGAAAACGCGTTCTCTATCCTATTTTCGAAAACGCGTTTTTAAAACGCCCAAAAATTTGTACACAAAATGATGAAAACATCGTTTTCCACGTTTTCAACCAAATTCAAGCAAAAACAGGGCAAAAACTCAAAACA